GCCCTATTCTATTCCACCCATGGTGGACATCAATCATCCATGCTGGGAGTAAATCTGTTTGTTTTGAAAGGCTTTTGCCATAGGGTGTATGTGTTCGCCAGAGAGACAGACAGTGAGAGGCAAAGTAAGAAATCACCCCCCTAGGGGATGGCCATGCCGCAGTCCCTTCTCCATTCTCTTGGGATTTGGGGCACTCACACCCTTGTGCCAGAGTGATTTTTTTTTTTTTTGGAGAGGTTTTTGCTATAGGTCGTGTGCGCTCGCCAGACAGACAGAGAGACCTAGAGACAGAAAGCGAGAAATCACCCCCCAGGGGGGATGGTCACGCCGCAATCCCTTCTCCTCCAGGGATCTTGGGCACGCACGCACATGCGCCCGGTGTGAGTTTTAAGCCACCGGGTCCGAGACGCGAACCGCGGTCGAATATAGGGGAGTCCAGCGACATAGCCATTACGCGCTAACTGCTAGTTCCCTGCCAGAGTGATTTTCAAGCCACCAGGTCCAGGATTTGAACTGCAGTCAGCCATGTGGGAGTCCAGAGCCTTAACTACCACAACACCTGCTGGCCCCCGTTTTTTTTTCTTTTTCTTTTGTTTAACTTCATGATGGAGCACATGCATTCACACATGAGAGAGAGAAAGAGAGAAGCTCTCTACAGGGTGTGTTCGTCACCTTCCTCCAGTTCTCCGGCCTGTTCCGGAGTCTCAGGCTGACTGAGCCAAGTATTCAAACTGCAGCCACCACGTGGGACCTGGCTGCTCTTGAGCAGTGCTTTACCACTGCGCCATGGAGCTGGCCCGAGATCTTGTTTTTATCATCCTCTCCACAGCGATCCAGGCAGCCCTGCCAATCAGCTGCAGGTAGCTCACACGAGATGAATCCTATCTGCCACAACCGTTCAGGCTTTGCAAGCAGGGACTTTGTTTTGCTCCTCTCTTTTTTTGATTCACAAGCTAATTTTAATGATATAGTCATTGTGTGCTTCTGTTCCCACCTAATCCCTGCAGCAGCCTTCGGAGGCAGGCACCCGTGATTATCCTGGTTTTGATTCACAAAGACGCTGAGGCTCTGAGAGATGAGGTCACTTGTTCAAGGTCACACACATTCAAACCTAGGTGCACCTGTCTCTAGCTGTTTCCCCTGACATTGACTACGCCCTTCATCTTCTCAGGGCCTTGGGGTGGGCACCGCAGGGAATACAGGGATCATTTTCTATTTCTTTTGTTTGTTCGCTATAGGGTATGTGTGCTTGCCAGAAAGAGACAGAGAGAGAGGAAGAGAGAGAAAGTGATAGGTCACACATCCCCGAAGGGGGATGGCCACGCTGCAATCCCTTCTCCTCGGTTCTCCTCTTGGGGTTTTGTGTATACATGCACATGTGTCCAGTGACTTTCTTTTTCTTTTTCTTTCTTTCTTTTTTTTTTTTTTTTTAGAGAGAGAGAGATTTTTGCTGTAAGGAATGTATGCTCGCAGAGGGACAGTGAGAGACAAAGTGAGGAATTATCCCCTAAGGGGATGGCCATGCTGTAATCCCTTCTCTATTCTCCTCTCGGGATCCTGGGCATGCATGCACACATATCTGATGTGAGTTTCAAGCCCCTGGGTCTGGAACTTGAACTACAGTCAGCCATGTGAGAGTCCAGTACATTAATCACTATGCCACTTGCTGGCCTCCTTTCAAGCAGCCGGGTCTAGGACTTGAACTGCAAAGTTGGCCATGTGGGTTCTAGGTGCCTTAACCTCCACACCATCTGCTGGCCCTGGTGACAGTCTATTTCTTGTGGCATTCAACACATGTATAGTCCTATGTGAGATTCCCAGATTCAGTGATGTATGGAAGTTGGTTCAGGAATAATATAAGTTCCCATTTTATAGACAAAGAAATGAAGACTCAAAGAAAAGAAACAGCATGCAGAAGACAGTCATGGAGGCAGACTCCATGAGCATGAAGGCTGCCAGAGGGTGCACCTTCATAAGCATGAAAAAAATCCTATCATGCTCTGCTGCCCTTCCGAGGGTGGGAATTCTGGACCGGCTTATGGGGATAAGTGGGCGTCAGTCGTGTGCAGAGCAGGGTCAGGGCTTGGCTCACACAGCCTGGCCTCTCCCTGCTGGCCTGGCAGGCTGAGTGGAGATCTTATTTCCGCTGCTGGGAGGGGACGGGCAGAGGATGTAGGGGCAGGAGGGAGTGGCCATAACAGGAAGTACTGAGTGGCCTGGCCCATTTCCCCTCCCTGGGGGGGAGATAGAGGAACAGCTAGTGGCTGGGAGTGTCCTGTCGCTCTAACACCAGAGATCACTGGGAGCTCTGACCCTCCCTCCACCAACACTGACGTGGCCAACCCATGCTCTCAAAATAACCCAACTGAGCTGTACACACCAGGGACATATTCCCCCGATCCTGGCTAGTTGGGAGGTTGGGCAGGGCAGGAGATTATGGCATGAGACCCTGTTGAGGGTACTTGTCTTTTATGCTCATGAAATAAACAAACTTAAAAAAAAAAAAAGCTTTCAAAACAAGCCAGTGCATTGGCATCTGCACTTCTCAATTTCTGATTGCTTTCTCACCCAGGGCCTTGTGTATTCCTTGCGGCACCTCTGACTAGCAGGACAGGGCCTTTGGGGGTCATTGTTCCCATTGGAAAGATAAGGAAGCTGAGGCCAAGAGAGGTTATAAGCAACCTGGCCTCGTTTTTTGGTTTTGGTTTTGGTTTTTGCCATAGGGTACATGTGCTCACTGGAGAGAGAGACAGAGAAAGTGAGAAATCAATCCCTCCTTCAGAGGGTATGGTCATACCACAATCCCTCTTCCTCCATTCTCCTCTCGGGATTTTGGGCATGCACTCCTGGCATGTTTCAAGCTGCTGGGTCGAGCACCCGAACAGCAGAGTCAGTGACGTGGGATCCAGCACCTTATCCACCATGCTTCCCACTGGCCCCTTCTTAGCCTGGTTCACACAGGAAATCAGTTGGAGAGCTTGGGCCTTCAGAATCCAGGTGTCATGGCCAGATGTGGGTGGGCCTCTGGAACCTTTCCAACTGTCCTGGGTGGGACATGCCGAGCGCAAGGTCCTAGAGGTAAGGAACACCAGGCTTCAGGTCCAGCCCACCCAGAAACCCCAGGCCCTCCTTGTATTTACTGCATGACTCCCTTGAGCCAGACGCTGCACTTAACGTCTGTGTAATAGGAACACTAAGGGCACCCCAACGCTGTGAAGAACAGCGCGATGAAACGTGTGACGTGCTCAGCACAGAGCCACCAAACGGGCCTTGACCAATATTCTCCCAACAGACAGGAAAACAGCCGAGGACCCATGGACAGATAAGTAGTTTACATATTATTTTTATTATTTATTTATTTTTGCCATAAGGCCAGAGAGAGGGTCAGCAAGAAATCACTTCCCGGGCTGGGGGGCGGGGTTTAGCCACACCACAATCTCTTCTCCTTCACACTCCTCTCAGGACTTGGGGCACACATGCACACGTGCCTGGTGTGATTTTCAAGCCACCAGGTTTGGGGCTCGAACTGTGGCCTGCCTGTGGGAATCCAGAGCTTTAACCACCACACCACTTGCTGGCCCCTAGTTAATATATTTTTAAAGTTTATTTATTTATTTCTTCAGAGAGAGAGACAGACAGACAGACAGACAGGTAGACAGGCAGGCATCTTGAACAGGGTTTTGATGCTGCAGTCCACTCCCAGTCTTGGCCAGCCCTGGATCAGGTGCCTGGGATACTCAGGGAGGGCTCCAGGCATGAACCTGAGCCCTCCCCATGCAGGTCAGCCTTTCAGAGCACTGTTTACCACTGTGCCACCATCTGGACCCAAAACTTATTGAGCACTTAATACATGCCAGGAGTTCTCCTAAGTGTATTTAACCCTTACACGGCCACTATGAGGTCAAACTAATAGTAAGTCCATTTTATAGGTGACAAAATTGAGACATGCGTGGTTAAGCACTTGCCCAAGATCATAACCCTAGCAAGTCACAAAACCAGGTTCAAACCTAGGCAGACTACTTCTGAAGCCCACATAGACAAGTCTCCCTTAATAGTGATATTGAATTTTTTAAAATCATAGCTTGGGGGCCAACAGGTGGTATGGTGGTTAAGGAGCAGGACTCCCACATGGCCAACCACCATTTGAGTCCTGGACCTGGTGGCTTGCTTTCTCACCCTCCCCCTTTCTATCTCTGGTGAGCACATGTGCCCTAGAGCAAAAATTAAAATAATAATAATAATAGAGACCAGCAGATGGCATAATGGTTATGTCACTGGACTCCCACATGGCTGATGGTGGACCTGAAACTCACACCGGGTGCATGTGCGTGCGTGCCCAAAACCCCGACAGAAGAATGGAGGAGAAGGAATTGTGGCATGGCCATCCTCCCTGGAGGGAGATTTTTTTGCTTTCTCTGTCTTTCCAGAAAGCACACATACATTATAGCAGAAATCTCTCTAAAAAACAAATATAATAAATAAAATTAAATTTTAAAAATAAAATAAAGATACTTGGATACAGTACTCTGCAGTTTCCAAGCACTTGGTCCCTACTCTTGATTCTTCATATCTCACCCCAGCAACCCGAGGAGGGAGGTGATGCTCACTCCCAACTTATAGAGGGAAGAGGAAAACAGGTTCTGAAAGGAAGAACTGATTTGTCCTGCCCAGGTCACACAGCAAGGTCAGTGCAGAAGCAGGGCTGAATGTGGGGTTTTCCAAACTTGGACTCCAAATTTAGGGGACCTGTCCCCTGCCTGACCCAGCTGCCAAGCCCCCCGGACAGCACACCTTCTGCTACAGCCCAGAGGCTGTGTCCCAGGTCAGTTGCTCTGCCTGGGCTTCCACCCTTCCTTCAGCTGTAGGGTCCCAAGGCAGCGTCCTCCATCCCCCCCACCCCTCCCCACCAGCCAGGAGGGACAGGAACTGCAGGGCTGGTGGAGTTTCCGACCAGGCAGGAAAACGAACAAAGGAACAGGGTGGGGGGAGGTAGAAGGGGTGGCTAGGAGGGTGGCAGGAGTGGAGGAGACGCTTCACCATGGAATATGAAGTCAAGAAAGGGAAGAAGGTAGGTGAGAGGTTGGAGGGGCACGGGGTAGAGCAATAGCCCCAGAAGTTGAAGAAGGAGAAGGGGAGGGCAGCGCGGGAGGGAGAGTTATGAGTGGCATAAACAGGGCCCTTCTTCTCATTTGAAAGACATTCCTTCCCACCTTGGCAGCCAGACATTTGTGCTCTGAACTCTCTAACCTACTTCTCCACCCTCACTGGCCTGGCATGGACAGACAGACAGGGACCTTCCTGGAAAATCTGTCTCTCTGGTGTTCCTGGGGGTTCCCTCCTACAGCTTCTCACACAGAGGGACAGACAAACCACTGGCAGACCCATAGCCTCACTCCCCACAGCTGCAGAAGGAGCCCAGCAGGGCAATTCTATGCTAGGAGGTTGCCATTCCGGCCCTGCGTCTCCCACTTGCTTCACCACTAGGTTCCAGTCTGCCTCTGGCCCGTTCTCATCCTGATGCGGGGCTCTCTCCTAAGACCTCAGCTGGAGTCATTCCTCCCCAGACCCCCACGCCTCCCTGACACTGAGAAGTTTTCAGGTCTGCTTGTCTGGGTGCCTCACTTGGTTTTCTTTGGGGTTCAGGGAGTTCACCAGATTTCAGCTCCCATCCCACCTCCATCCCCACAGAGCCCTCTTGCCACAGGACGCCTGGGTCAGGGCTGTCCTAAAAGGCACCCAGGTGAATTACGGAGGGGTCGGAAGGGACATAAGAGCCTGTTCTCCCTTGGCTCATTCCTTCCAGGGCCGTTTGCTGAGCACTGTATGTCAGTCACTGTGCCAGGAACGGGAGATGTGGCCTGAGTAAAGCCAGAGAAGGTCCCAGCTCCCTCCCTGGAGCTCAGTCTTGTGAGGGAGGCAACCATCGATTTTTAAAAAAAGACAACGAATGAATTAATGGAAAATTGCATAAAAGGTTCTATAAATGGTATTGGGAGATAGGATATGTACAGTTCTCCAAAAGTTTGTATATTATGTGTATTATGAAAAAAAAAAACTATGCATGGATTTAACAACGTTTTTGCACCAAAATAAATTGCAATGTAATTCCATTTTCTACAAACCTTTTCTTTTTTAAAAAATAATTATTTAATTTTATTTATTATTATCATTATTTTAAAATTTGCTACAGGGCACATGTTCTCACTGGAGAGAGAGAGAAAGTGAGAAAGCAAGTCACCAGGTCCAGGACTTGAGCCACATAGGAACTTGAACCATGTGGGAGTCTAGCACCCAAACCACCACGCCACCTGCCAGTGTTTACAAACTTTTTCCAGTCCCCTTGCATTAAGGCATCTAGCCCCAGGTTGGTCAGTTTCAACTGTGAGCTGATGAATGGGAGGAAAGGCAGTAAGGGTTTCCTGGATCATGCTTAAATTCTAATGATTACTTTTTAACCACTCCTGGTTAATTAAGGAAAGCACAGAGAATAGCTTAACAAACACTTACCTTCCACTCAGCCACATTGAATCCTACTCGTTTTCTGTATTGTCCAGCCTAGCCCACTCCTTAGACTCGATTTGCAGAAGCCATGCCCTCGCCTGGTGCTCAGAATGAGGCGTTGGACCTGGACTGCCCAGGGTAAACAACTAGTTACTAGCTGGTGACCTTATTAGCTAGTTTCTTCTCTGGAGCTCAGTTTCTCCATATAAGATGGGAATCACAGAGGTACCCCTTCCACAATGTTTTTGTGAAAATTAAATTAGGTAAGGAGGGTACCAGCATATAGATGGCATAATGGTTCCATTGCTGGACTGCCACATAGTGGACAGTTCGAGCCCCAGACCCAGTTGCTTAAAAATCACACCTGGCATGAGTGCATGCCCAAAATCCCGAGAGGAGAATGGAGGAAAAGGGATTGCAGTGTGGCCATTTCCCCGGGGGGTGATTTCTTGCTTTCTGTCTCTGTTTCTCTCTGTGTCTCTGGTGAGTGCACGCGCCCTATAGCAAAGAGGAAAAAAAAAAAACAAAAACAGATAATGGAGTAAAACAGTGAGCATGGTAAGTGTTCAGTAAAGTCAGCTGCTGCTATTACTGTCACCCCTCTGCCTCCCCTAGGGCTTCGTGGCCCCCATCCGAAGGCTGGTGTTCCCCAAGTCTGGGCGCCGGGCAGCCTCTCGGAGCAGTGTGAGCCGTCGGCCCCTACACTCAATGCCCCTTTACCCACCTGACTACCTCATCGACCCCCAGATTCTGCTGTGTGACTACCTGGAGAAAGAAGTCAAGGTATGGGATGAGAAGGGGGGACAACCCTAGAGTGACGCTAGACCCTACCTCCACGCCGGCCTCTGACCAGCCCTGTCTCACACCGGAGCAGCTGGGGTTCATGGAAGAGGCGTGGGTTCACATCAGCCTCATCCCCACCGAGAGGAGAATGGAGGAAAAGGGATTGCAGTGTGGCCATTTCCCCGGGGGGTGATTTCTTGCTTTCTGTCTCTGTTTCTCTCTGTGTCTCTGGTGAGTGCACGCGCCCTATAGCAAAGAGGAAAAAAAAAAAACAAAAACAGATAATGGAGTAAAACAGTGAGCATGGTAAGTGTTCAGTAAAGTCAGCTGCTGCTATTACTGTCACCCCTCTGCCTCCCCTAGGGCTTCGTGGCCCCCATCCGAAGGCTGGTGTTCCCCAAGTCTGGGCGCCGGGCAGCCTCTCGGAGCAGTGTGAGCCGTCGGCCCCTACACTCAATGCCCCTTTACCCACCTGACTACCTCATCGACCCCCAGATTCTGCTGTGTGACTACCTGGAGAAAGAAGTCAAGGTATGGGATGAGAAGGGGGGACAACCCTAGAGTGACGCTAGACCCTACCTCCACGCCGGCCTCTGACCAGCCCTGTCTCACACCGGAGCAGCTGGGGTTCATGGAAGAGGCGTGGGTTCACATCAGCCTCATCCCCACCTTGCACTGTGTACTTTTTGCAATTGACCCCTACCTGCTAAACCTCAGTGTCCCCATCTCAACATGGGGTTCGAAACCCATCCCAGGGGAGAGCGGGTGAAACAGTGTTCTGTGCACTGAAAAGCCTCACCCTCCCACAAGATCCTACTGCGGTGAGCTTGCTGTTACTCAGAGCCCAGGCTAACAACGAGCCACAAAGGACGATGACAACCCAAGAGTTTAACTTCTCTTTTGTGAATGCTGTCAAGGAACCATGGGGGATTCTCATTTTGCCACGGAAGACTGTTAAGGGAGTAGAACTGACAGATTTAGCAAACCCTGGCTATACTTAGAGCTACCTGGGGAGCTTCTAAAACTTCAGATGCCTGGGCTTTCCCCAGACGGACTGATGCAGAAATTCTCAGGCTGGGATCCAGCAAACAGGCTACCTAGTAAAATTTATTTTTCTTTCCTTTCCTTTCCTTTCCTTTCCTTTCCTTTCCTTTCCTTTCCTTTCCTTTCCTTTCCTTTCCTTTCCTTTCTTTTCTTTTCTTTTCTTTCTTTTTAGTTTTTGCTATAGAGTGTGTGCACTCAACTAGAGAGACAGGAAAGAGAAAAAAAGAGAGAGAGAGGGAAAGTGAGAAATTACCCTCGAGGGGATGGCCACATTGCAATCCCTTCTCCTCCATTTTCTGTTCTGGATTTTGGGCACACACATGCACCTGGCATGATTTGTCAAGCTGCTGGGTCTGGGACTCAAACCACGCAGTCAGCCCTGTGGGAACCAGCACCGTAACTATCACACCACCTGCTGGCCCCAAACAATGAACACTTTTTAAGTATTTTCCAAATATTGCATGGGACTAAAAGTACTAAAAACTAGTTTGTGAAAAAAGTGTCATTTATCTGAAATTATAATTTACCTGACATTTTGAATTTTATATATTTCCTTTATTTGGAAGGAAAAGCTAACAAATAAATCCCCTTAGAAATTGAGGACTGAGGCGGCTGACAAGTGATATGGTGGTTAAGAGTGCTGGACTCCCACGTGGCCCACCCCAATTCAAGTGCCGAACCTGGGGCTTGCTTTCTTACCTTCCCTCTTTCACTCAGTCCCTCTCTGGTCAAATTAAAATAAGTAAATAAAGTTAAATAAAAATAATTCTTTAAAAAAAAAAAAAGAAAAGAAAAGAAATTGAGGATAGAGGGCCACCCAGATGGTATGGTGTTTGAGGCAGCTAGATCCCAGAAGGTCAATGGTGAGGTTGGAGTCCCAGACTCAGCAGCTTGAGAGACATGCTGGGCATGTGTACATTTGTGCCTCAAATTCAAATCCCTAGAGGAGACTGGAGGAGAAGGGATATCGGTGTGGCCATCCGCCTGGGGTGTCCTTTCTCACTTTCTCTTTCTGTCTACCTCTGGTGTGCACACATGCCCTATAGTAAACTTAAAAAAGAAAAGAAAAGAAAAAATAGGGACTGAAATTTCAAAGAGTATAAAATTAAAAGAAAAGAGATTGGGGGAATTCAACCAAAGTGGGGAGAAAGGGTCCTGTGTCTCTTCTGGAAAAGGCATGTCCTGCGGCCGGCGGGGGGGCCTGAGGCGGGGCAAGGGGGTGATGGAAAAGGCCTGACCACATTACCCAGAGGAGGCTTGGGGCAGACCAAAGAGGCCACATGCTAGAAGGTGGAGCTCCAGGTTGAGGATGAAGGGTGTAGTGCCTGAGCCAGTACCCTTAGGCCAGGCAGCAGGCTGTGGGGTGGGTAGAATGCCAGAAACCTAAGGCCAGGCCAGGACTCAAAGTTAAAGCAAGCGGTGAGGTGGAGTTGGGCAACATGGCTCAAGAATCGAAGTGGTTAGGGATGGGATAGGGGGGCGCCCATGTGGGCTAGAGGTGGGGTCTGGTCTGGGGCAGGGCCATGTGGGGGGTGGAGTTTGTACTAGGGAACAGGTGGGAGACCGCAGACAACACCTAGACTACAACTAAAAATAATGAAAAAAAAATTCTGATATTGGATAGCATGTAAGTGATAACATTAGGATGAATGAAATGAATGAATGAAAAATTAACTTAATGGATTTGGAGTATCATTTTCCTGACAAAATGATACACTAATTGGATACAGCATTCTTCCCTTTCCAGTTGACTTCTGTGACTAGATCGAAAAGAGGGCAAGTGGTTGTCATCAGCTTGACAATGATGCTGGGGTGGAGAGAGACACTGAGGCTCCCGGAAATCCACAGGGGGTCAGTTCTTTGAAGCTATCATGGTGACCTTTGCTTCCCTCTAGAACCTTACAGCTATAGGACGCTGTGTTAGAACAACCAGTACATGCTAGCCATTGAGAACGTGGGCTCCGGCCTGTGGAGTCCCCTTTCAAGCTACATGATCTGGTCAAGCCTTTCAGTTAGCCATGCTGTGCTTTGGTTTTTCTCATCCTCACAGTGAGGATGAATGAGTGAGAACACCTGACCCTTGAACAAGAGTTTGAACTGCATGGTCCACTTAGATGTGGATGTTTTTCAAAGACAAGACTGTCTCGAGTTAGTATAATACTACAAACATATTTTCTCTTCCAATGGCTTTCTTTTTTTCCCTTTAAGTTAATGAGTGAGATACACATGCAGACAGCACCCCAAAATGGTCTAGGGTCTCGAGGTAGCAATCCACCCCTAGCTTCAGGCAGCCAGGGATCATGGCCATGCTTGGTGTATCTCAGGGAGGTCTCTGGATTTGAACAGGGAACCTTCCCATGTAGAGCTGCCTCACAGAGGCACATTTTATCACTGTGCCACCACCAGCAGACTCCTTTATGATTTTCTTAATGACATTTTCTTTTCTCTACCCTACTTTATTGTAAAAATGCAGTATATAATATGTATAACATACAAAATATATGTTAATCAACTGCTTATGTTTTCAGTAAGGCTTCTGGTCAACAGTAGGTTATTAGTAAAGTTTCGTGGGGAATCAAAATTCAAGGTAGATTTTTATCTCTGAGGTGGATTTTCACTTTATGGAGGTCAGCACTCCAAACTCCTGCCTTATTCAAGAGTCAACTTACATATACACGGGGTCTTCAAAACATTCGTGAAAATGCGTATTATGAAAAAAACATGTGGATTTCAAAACTTTTCCATCAAATATACTCATACTTTAATTCCGTGTTTAAGTCCCTTGGTATAAAGTGCTCCAAACTGTGCCTGGTTTCTGATACGGGCTCGATAAAAGTTATCAGGTGACTATTAATTCACATGTTTCTATCTCAATCTACCCACACTGCCTCAGTGAGGAGGCTGATGTCCTCCAAGGCTTCAGGTGACCTCTCTGTGCCCTTTCCCCACTCCTTTTCACATCCAGTTCCTGGGCCACCTCACCTGGGTGACTTCCTCACTGAACCCCTCCAGCCGGGATGAGCTCCTACAGCTGCTGGACACTGCCAGGGTGAGGATCCGGGCAGGGAGGAGGGCAGGTTTCGTCCCCTTCTCCCTCTCCTACCCAGTGCCCTGGAACTCAGGAGCTCTGACCCACCCTGCAGCAGCTGAAGGAGTTGCCTCTGAAGACCACGGCGGAGCAGGACAGCATCCTGAGCCTGTCTGCCCGCTGCCTGCTGCTCACCTGGCGCGACAACGAGGAGCTCATCCTGCGCATCCCCACTCACGAGATCGCCGCCGCCTCCTACTTGCAGGACGACGCGCTGCACCTGCTGGTGTTGAAGACGGGTACAGTGAGCGGGGCCTGACTGGGCAGGGTCAGGAGGTGACCGGCGAGAAAGGGCTCTAGGTCTGTTCTGGAATAGGCGTGCCTGCGGCCGGGCTGGGGCCTGAGGCTGGGCAAAGAGGTGATGGAAAAGCCCATATGCTAGAAGGTGGAGCCCGAGTTTGAGGATGAAGGGTGGGCTGCCTGAGCCACTACCCTGAGGTCAAGCAGCGAGCCGCGGGGCCAGGACCCGGCTCAAAGTTAAAGCAAGCAGTGAGAGGGAGTGTGGCCAAGCGGCCCAGAGTCTAGGTGGTTGGGGACAGGGGAGGGGAGGGGCCATGCGGACTAGGGACGGAGTCTGGTATCAGGGAGTGGCCATGTCGGGGTGGAGCTCATATTGGGGAACAGGTGAGAGACTGCAGACCACTCCAAACCTGGGACCCGCTGGAGGCCAAGGGCGGGGTTAAAGCAAGTGGGGAAGACAGAATCCAAGAGACATTAAAGGCCGAGACCAGGTACAGGGTACGAGGTAGATACAGTGTGGGGAGGCAGCCTGACCACCACCCTCAGAGGGCAGGTCGGAGGGAAGGGGCCGAAGGTAGGGTAGGGAGGAGGCAACTGCCAGGCTATCATCCAAAGACCAGGGGTGGAGCCAAAAACCGAGTGGAGCCTGGGGCTGGAGCAGGGCCCGAAAGTAAAGACGCAGAGGGTGGGCGCGAATGGCCACCCACTTTGAAAGCAGGAGAGGCGCCTGAGGCCAGGGCTGGGGTCAGAGGCTTTGAGGCTCGGGGCTGCGCGGTGAGCTCCTCCCGCTGGTCTCGGGAGTGGTCTCTTAGCCCCGATCTCCCGCGGCTGACAGCCCCCGCGGCTTCTCCTAGGTCTGGGCGTGGACCCGGTGCCGGCCGGCGTGGACGCCAGCCCCGGCGGTGCGGGGCGCGACCCCGGCCCTCCCGGTGCGGCCCCGGAGAGGCGACGGGTGGGCACCGCGGAACG